ATATATATGGAATCTAGAAAGATGGTGACGATGACCCTATATGCGAGACAGCAAAAGAGACACAGATGTAAAGAACAGACTTTTGGACTCTGTGGAGAAGGCGAGGGTGGGATGATTTGAGAGAATAGCATTGAAACATATATATTATCATATATGAAACAGATCACCAGTCCAGGTTTGATGCATGAGACAAGTGCTCAGGGCTGGTGCACTGGGATGACCCAGAGGGATGAGATGGGGCGGGAGATGAGGGGGGTTCAGGGTGGGGAACACATGTAAATCCATGGCTGATTTATATCAACGTATGGCAAAAACCACTACAATATTGTAAAGTAATTAGCTTCCAACTAAAATAAATAAATTAAAAAAAATAAAAAAGAATCCGCCTGCCAAAGCAGGAGATTTAGTCTTGATTCCTGATCCAGGAAGATTTCACATGCCGCAGAGCAACAAAGCCCATGTGCCATAACTACTGAGCCAGTGCTCTAGAACCCAGGAAAAGCATCTCCTGAGTCCACATGAGTTTTGTAGTCCAAAAACTACAGAAGCTGGAGAACCCTAGAAGCTATGCTCTGCAACAAAGAAGCCACCACAGTGAGAAGCCTACACACCATAACTAGAGCATAGGCCTCACTCTCCACAAGTAGAGAAAAGCCTGTGCAGCAAAAAAGACCCAGCTAATAAAAAATAAATAAAAATTAACAATAATCCTGTGAACATTTCCCTAGGTAGTGATGGGATTTGTGTTCCAGGTTAAAGGATGTTAACTTGGTATAAAATCAATGCATACAGTGAATGTGTATACTGTGTTTAATTTTTATATACACACTTATTCATGGTGCAAAGGTGATGGGCATTTTTTGGAGGAAGTTGACAATAGTAACAGTGATGTTTAGGTTGACATAATCAAGGAAATCACAACACAAAAAATTCACACACACAGAGAGAATCATACTATTCATTGCACATAGAGACACACCCAGTACCCTGGACACAAACCTACACTCTTAACCATATACAGCTTCTTCCTGGGACTACAGTAATTGGTCACATTACTTTACTTGTAATTTCTATCACTGAGGCTGCTATACTCATTCCCAGCAGGAATTTGGAACCAGGTTGGCCTCTACACTAAAACCAGAAAGAAAGCCCCAACTTTCTCATCTACAAAGCATTTCCTCCCCAAGAGAGTGATTCTAGAATGCATACCACTTTCACATGCTGAAAGGGCCACCCACAAGGACAGAAGAGAAGACAGTATGAGGATGAGATCACGGTGATGCACAGTCTTTGGTTCATTTGGTGACCATAGAAAACTTGATGAGGAACAGTGGTAGGGTCCAGGGAACCCAGCAAGATCAGAGCACACATACTCAGGATGAAAGGCAATACCTTTCCTGGAGGATGGAACTCCCAAGTCCATTTGTGTTGGAAATTACAGAATTGTTTTCCTAGAGGAAAAGTTGCTGCAGGAAAGAGAGCTCTGTACTCTACAGGTTGTAATGGATGCTAGCAATTTTAATGTCTTATGGACTGAGGCATCATGAGTTGGTAATGAGACTCTCACTCCATACTCTCCCAGTCAAGGGAATTGACTATATTTGGAACAAACACCCTCAAATACTCATAACTTAATTATACTGAAAGAGAAATGAACCAATGTTTCCATCTCAGACCAGAAAAACAAACAAACAGCTTTCCCAACAGCTTGCCTTGGAGACACATGGAGTCTCTTCTGTCCTGTCACAAGGCGGGTGACTGGCAGGTCCTTAGTGAAAGCTAGAGGGACAACAAGTAGCTGTTAAAATGCTGGTGAGGCTGCTCAGGAATTGTTCAGGGCTTTTACTCTTTGTGTGGACATGGTGGTGTATATGGATGTGGGAGGTTAATAAGCATGGGCTGAACTTGTGTATATCCATCATATTCGGGTGAGGAAGGGAAGCAAAGGAGAGGAGAAAGGAAATGAAAACAGAGCTTTGGCTTTCTCACTGTGAGGAACCTAATGAAAAGGAAATATTCAATCTTGAAAAAGGAAAACTCTAAAATGCATGCTTCTTTTCAATGACAGAGACCCATGAAATCCTACTAAATTGCCCCTGTCTCTTGATTCTTCCCAGATCACTCTTCCTCCAGGATCCAGAGTTGCTGCTACTCTACTCATCATGTTTTCTGTGAGACTTTGCACTTGATTAAAAGGAAACTCTTTAAAAGGAGTGGATTCAATTCTGGGCAAAGTATGCTACTGTATTTATTCATACATCAGTGAAATGTACATTGTATACATCAGTGAAATGTACAATGTCAGGTTACTATAATTATATAGTATATCCACTAGAATGTGGCCAGTGCTTTTTTCCTGGGAGATAAATCTCTTGCTCTGTACCCCTGACCCTCACCGCCTGTAGGGACCCAGGATCAGGGCACCTCTCCAACCAGAGCTGGCAAGAAAGCCACCTTCAATTAGATTGTTTCTCAGCAGAGGAGATACCTTGAGTAATGATGGTATTCATAGGCTGTTCCATGCATCTGTTCCATGCATCTGTAATTAGAAGGAAAGAGTGTGACAGTGTCTGCATCTTGTGTTCTGTTCAGTAAATCTTCTGTTATCTGATATTTGTCCTCAGAAAACTAAAACTCTTTAAGTTAATGGCCTCAAAAGAAAACAGAGAGCAACCCTGTTGAAAAGGTTGGACTATGTCACTATGTCGTCTCTCCGTTTCAATTTGACAGACAATTAGAAAAATCATTTTCAAGAAGAAAAAATTTCTCCTGAGGAAAAGTGCCTACTGTTATGCAGTAATAACTGTTGCTGTCTTTTGTTTTTTTTATGTCCTTTCGAATCAGGTCTGTGTTGATAATAGACTTAGCCTCAGTATTTCCCCAACCAAGGAAATTGTATACATCAGTGAAATGCACATTGTCAGGTTACTATAATTGTAGTCGACTGAACAAAAAACAAAGAAGTGAAGCAACACTCTTATCTCAGAGAAAGACGGGTGAGCTTACCTCCAGGTTACTGCAACCAGGACTGGTGTTGTGTTCCTCAACCAGGACTGGGACAGTCCCTGCCTCCACCAGTTCTTCATCGGGGCTAGAGGGACACAGAGTTGCTATCAGAATACTGATGAAGCTTCTCAGGAGTTACTCAGGGGGTTTTTCTTGATGGGGACATGGGGTGAAGTATATGTATGTGGGAGGTTAATGACTATGGAGCAAAGGAGAGGAACAGGAAAGAAATGAAACAGTCTGCATTTTAATGAACGGGAACTTAACTGACAGGGAAAAAAGAAATACTAAAATGCATGTTATCTTTCCATGACAGAGACCCATGACCCTTCTGCCTGTTTTGAGCTCCTGATAAATCACCCCCTCTTCTGGATTTCATCCCAGATCACTGCCTCCCCAGCTTCCACAGTAACAGCTATGGTACTTACCAAGTCTTCTATGAGACGTTGTTCTTGATTAAAAGCAAACTTAGAGGACTGTATTCAATCCTACATTTTCAAAGTAGCTATTGTCATGTGGTGCTTTTTTCCAAGTCTTCCTTTCCCAAACAATGTGTGCACGTCCACTGAGTCAGTGGCTGTCGCACTCACAGAAGTCATATATTTAGTGGGAGAGCTCCGTGGAGAGGAGCCCTGGGATGGGTGCTGCCTCTGACCCAGCTGTGCAGCAGAGTTAGAACAGGAGTCATGGTCGCTAGGCTAACTACCAAGCGCCACTGTGAGATGTGTTTGACACCTTCCCTTGAGAGTGTGCAACAGGGTTTAATCAATGTAAGGCTTACGGTCGTGTCACCCAGTATAGTGAAATATCTCCCTGATCGTTATCTGCTTTTGTCCTTTTTGAAGCAATGACACTAGCACCAACAGATATGAGCTATATTGTCTACACGAGGCCACACAACTCTCAGAATGTGTGAGCTGGCCAGGAGGATGTGAGTCCCAAGGTATTTTTCACTCTAATAGCTGTGCCAAAGTTGACTGTTAATCCACCTGGAGGTGCCCTGGGTTCTGTGACCATTGAGGCTACCTTATAATGATGGGCAGGATCTGGACCTCTGGAGCTGCTAATACCTCCAGGCATGGATGTAGATGCAGGGATCCCCTTGTTCCATGTCTGAGGTTCTCATGGCTGAGTGAAAATGCAAGTCAGGGATCCAGAGCAGCCACATTGGGACCACCCCTGGGTTCTCAGTTTGACTTTTCCACTTAGGTGGTCAGGAGCTTGGGCCATTCGTCTCAGCACCATCTCCATCTGAGGAAAATCAGTTTTAACCAAATCTGGGGAGTGGCTGAGTTGAGGGAAGAATCAGGTAATTATAGCCAGTGTGCAGCAGTGATGAGAAGTCTTTATAAAGTGGACAGTTGACCTGTGCTGTGTAAGAGGGAAATATCTCCTGAGGAAACACACACACACACACAGAGCTTCAAAATCACACCGCATGGGCTCACACATGTGCCCCCAACCTTGATTCAGACAAACCCACAGCATTAAATGATGCAGTTGTTTCCAGGGGCCATGGAACACAGACATTGCTCTTGCATGGGCGATCAGTCTCTTACTCTGCGCTCCCAGCCTCAGGAATTGTGAGACTGCTCAGGAACCACTCAAGGGGTTTTTCTTGATGGGGACATGGGGTGGGAAGTGCATGTGGGAGGCAGGTAACTTGACTGAGCTGTCATTGAACCATCCTCTTTGCTGGATGAAGGAGAGCAAAGGAGAGGAATAGGAAAGAAAAGAAACAGAGTTTCTGCATTTTAATGAATGGGATCCTAACAGATGGTGAAAAAAGAAATGCTAAAACACATGCTGATTCAACAGAGTGATTTGAGATGGGAGAGTAGGACGTGTACTCACCTCCTGTGAGAACTCCAAAAGAGCAACTAGCTGCTGAACAGCCATTGACAGGACAATGGTGGATCCCACCAAGAAAAGATATCCTACATCCAAGGGCAAAGGAGAAGCCCCAGGGGAATGATTGGAGGTGTGAAACTGCATTAAGAATGAAACCCCATACCCGCCAGAGAAGTTCGGAGTGCTCAAACTAAACCTTTTGTGCACCTGGACCCAGGGACCCCACAAGAGACTGAGCCAGACCTGCCTTTGAGGGTTTGAGCGTCTCCTGTGGAGGCACAGTCATCAGTGGCCTGCCTCAGGGACAGAGGCTCTGGTTGCAACAGACTTGGGAGGCACGGTGTGTGGCATAAGTTTTCTTGAAGGAGGTCACCAGTAGCGCCACCACAGAGCTGCTGAGCAAATGACCCAAGAGCTGGAGAATAGTTATAACAAAAGGTTTTTGCACTGTTGCAAAAGTTCTAGGGCCTACAACAGATTTCCCAACTTGGAGATCTGGCAAAGGGACTAAGAACCCCTAGGGAATTTGACTTTGAAGGCCAGTGGGACTTGATTATAGAACTTCCACGATTGGGGAAAAAAGACTCTTGGAGGGCACAAACAAAACCTTGTGCCACCAGGACCCAGGAGAAAGGAGCGGTGGCTCACAAGAGACTGAGCCAGACTTGCCTGTGAGTGTCCAGGAGTTTCCAGGGGAGTCACGGGTCAACAGTGGCCTGCTGCAGGGTCAGGGGCACTGCATAAAACAGTGCTGGAAGCCATAGCATGCTGGCATGAGTCCTTGTAAAGGAGGTTGTAATTATTGCCATTAACCTTACCATAGTTTGGCCTCAGGCCAAACTACAGTGAGGGAACACAACCCCACCCATCAGCAGAAAATTAGATTCAAGATTTACTGAGCATGGCCTTGCCCATCAGAGCAAGACCCAGATTTCCCCACAGCCAGTTCCTCCCATCAGGAAGTTATCACAAGCCTCTTATCCTTACCTTATCTTACCTTATCTTATCCTTACCCTCTTATTCTTACTGCATAACAGTGCAGACAGAATGAAAACCACAATCATAGAAAACTAACCAAAATGATCACATGGATCACAATCTTGTCTAACTCAAAGAAACTATGAGCCATGTTGTATAGGGCTGGCCAAGACAGTCGGGTCATAGTGGAGAGTTCTGACAAAACGTGGTCCACTGGAGAAGGGCATAGCAAACCACTTTAGCATTCTTGCCTTGAGAACCCTAAGAACAGTACGAAAAGGCAAAAAGATATGTCCCTGAAAGATGCACTCACCAGGTCAGTAGGTGCCCAATATGCTACTGCAGAAGAGCTGAGAAAGCTCCAGAAAGAATGATGAGTCTGAGCCAAAGTGAAAACAAAGCCCAGTTGTGGATGTGACTGGTGATGAAAATAAAGTCCGATGCTGTAAAGAACAATATTGCATAGGATCCTGGCATGTTAAGTCCATGAATAGAGGTAAATTGGAAGTGGTCAAATAGGAGACGGCAAGAGTGAACATTGACATTTTAAGAATCAGTGGACTAAAATGGACTGGAATGGGCAAATTTAATTCAGATGACCATTGTATCTACTATGGTGGACAAGAAATCCCTTAGAAGAAATGGAGTAGCCCTCATAGTTAACAAAAGAGTCGGAAATGCAGTACTTGGGTGTAATCTCAAAAATGACAGAATGATCTCTGTTGGTTTCCAAAGCAAAACATTCAATATCACCATAATCCTGTGGACAGTTAAGTCTGGTGTGCTGCAGTCCATGGGACCCCAAAGAGTCAGACATGACTGAGCGAGTGAACTGAACTGAGCTGAAAAATGAATGCTAGCTTTCCATTATAGAGACCCATGACTCTCCTGCCTGTCTTGAGCTTCCATTAAATCATCCATGTCCTCTGAATTTCTTTCTCAGATCACTGCCTCCCCAGAATCACAGTCCACAGCTGCAGCTCTTGTACTTACCAATTTTCTTCTGAGAATTTTTTCTTGATTAAAAGCAAACTCTGTCTGAGGATTGAATTCAGTCCTACTTTTTCAAAATAGCTATTATCAATCATGTGATATTTTTTTCCCAGGCTTCATTTTCCAAACAGTGTGTGCATGTCCACTGAGTCAGTGGCTCTCCACACTCACAGAATCATACATTAGTGGCACGGTTTGTTATGGAGAGGAGCCATGGGAGTGGACGCTGACTATCTCTGTCCCAGCTGTGCAGGAGATTTGCAACAGGAGTCATGGTCACTAGGCTATCTACCAAGTGCCACTGTGAGATGTACTTGACACTTTCCCTTGAGAGTGTGCAACAGGGTTTAATCAATGTAAGGCTTACGGTCATGTCACCCAGTACAGTGAAATATCTCCCTGATCGTTATCTGCTTTTGTCCTTGTTTAAGCAATGACACTAGCACCAACAGATATGAGCTACATTGTCTACACGAGGCCACACAACTCTCAGAATGTGTGAGCTGGCCAGGAGGATGTGAGTCCCAGGGTATCTTTCACTCTAATAGCTATGCCAAAGTTGACTGTTAATCCACCTAGAGGTGCCCTGGGTTCTGTGACCACTGAGGCTACCTTATAATGATGGGCAGGATCTGGACCTCTGGAGCTGCTAATACCTCCAGGCATGGATGTAGATGCAGGGATCCCCTTGTTCCATGNCCATGACCGAGGTTCTCATGGCTGAGTGATAAGGTCAGGAGTCCAATGCAGCCACGTTGGGACCACCCTTGGGTTCTCAGTTTGGCTTTTTCACTTAGAAGGTCAGGAGCTTGGGCCATTTATCACAGCACCATTTCCATCTGAAGAAAATGAATAGAACCAAAACTTCTCAGTGTTGAAGGCTTGTTAAAAGACCTACACCTATGAAGCTACTGAATTATGATTTAAAATACTGTACTGATACCTGAATATGGTAATGATGCACCAATGGAGTAATGCTATCATTATGTGATTGAGTTTTTCTACAATTTAAAATTAATTACCATTACTCTATCAATATTTCAAATTATTCACAGTCTAATTGCTTCCTCTTGATAAAAAAGTGTAGTTTATACAATAAGAGTTTAGTATAGGCCAGATATTCTTATTGTTATTTATATGTTCTATGATAATCTAACTTAATTACCATAACAACTCTGTGAGGTAGATATTATCTTCAAAGCTACTGAAAAAAGTGAAAGTCACTCAGGCCTGTTCAACTCTTTGTGACCCCATTGACTGAATCTTCTGTTCATGGAATTCTCCAAAAAAGAATACTGGAGTGGGTTGCCATTCCCTTCTCCAGGGGATCTTCTGGACCCAGGTATCGAGCCAAGGTCCCTTGCATTTCAGGTAGATTCTTTCATATCTGAGCTCGTTACCAGGGAAGTGCATAAGATTATGGAAGCACTTGTTAAGTAGTTAGCATATGTCAACCAATGTAAAAGGGAGAGTTGGAATTTGAATCTAAGAAACCTGATTCTAGGATAAAAGTTTTCAAGTACTAGACTATAGCTACACTACTAAATAAATAAATACAAAGATAAGGTCTAAAATAAAATAATAAAGAATTTAAAATTTTATTTCTGTTAAAAGGAGATACTACTATGCAGTTATCAGAATGGCTAAACTCCAAAAAACAGAAAACACCAAATACTGATGAAGATATAGAGCAACAGGAACTCAATTCATTAACTGCTGCTGGAATGTAAAGTGGTACAAGCATTTTGTAGGTTTCTTATGAAGCTAAATATAGGTTACCTACCATATCATCTAGCAATCACGCTCCTACTTAATTATCCAAATGCTCTGAAAACATGAACACCTCCACACCGATGCTTAGAGCAACTTTATTCAAACTGCCAAAAACTGGAAGTAATCAAGTTGTCCTTCAATAAGTGAATAACTGTAATACAGCCATACAATAAATTATTATTTAATAATAAAAAGAAATGAGTTACTGAGCCTTGAAAGAAACAGAGAAGGTTTTAAAAGATACCACTAAGTCAAAGAAGTTCTCAAAAGCCTGAATAAACAGAGACCATCAACTCTATGACATTCTGGAAAAGGCAAAGCTCTACAGGTGTTAAAAAGATTAGGCCTTGCCAGAATGTTGGTGGAAGAGTTGGGTGGAAGGGGAGGGGAA